CTTATAATAATAAATAAATAAAATAAATAAAGCGTTGAATTCTACCACTATAAATTACTTTAATTTATTTCCCTAGAAATAAATACAAATTTACACCCAACAACATTGAAAATATATCAAGCGCAGAGGGTTAAGACGACGTATATACTCGTCGAACGCTGTTAACCGGTTAAACGCTCTCTCAGAATTCACGAATTCAAATATTTCTTGCCATAGGTGAATCGCGACTACGCAACACAAGCCAGCAAATAACATCCTCCGCTTCTCTTCAAGTAAAAATCCATTTGTCACTGTCGGGAAAAAAGGCGCGAATAGCTTGTTCCTTAAACGAGTCAACAGTGACGAGAGGAATCGCCGCTGACGGTCCTATGGAGCATTTACGTTTCGATCGGGTAGACATACGGTCCTGGACTGCGGAATTTCACGCGGCAGTTAACACCTGGTAGATAGCAGGAGCGACGTGTCGGTCAGATAAAACGCAAAACATTGGGGCTGACATGCAATTAGTGGCAGCGCCGACTGCAAATCGTCGTGACGCTGCGCCACGAGATTTACTGTTCGCTCACCTCCGGCGATTTTATCCTGGGCCGTCGCGCCGCTTGTCTTCCTTTTTTCCGTCGTCGGCCCACCCCTTCCCTTTCCACTTATTTTTACCTTCCTTTCCATTCTACTCTAATTTCCTTTCGTGCCCTTCAAACGCGAATGCGTGGGCCGGCTTTACTCGCGGAATGCGTTTAATCCCTTTAGCTAAACCTTTTCCCTTTCCTTTTGCTTCCCAGTTGATAACGAAGCGCTGGAAACTTCGTTCTCAAATCCGACCCGAAGTTTTATGAGAACTCATCGGACTACTCTTTGTCCCAGCTGTGTTTCGTCCCTGCTGGATTAATGAAGAAGAGGTTACTAAGCACTCGCCTTGTATGTTGAAACTGCGAAACTGTTTCTTGCCGTGGCGTGCTAATTCGATCCGTTTAATGGATTAGGCGTTTCGATTTTTATTATTGGCCACATAAATCAGCGATGTTCCCGGGGTACTTAGCGCCGTTCGTTTAAGCATTTAGTGCACTCGTAGATGAGTTACCTTATTTATGGATGCTTGCTGAAATACCGGGGTTTTTGCTGATATCTCCGGGTTTTCGGTTCGAATTGATCATGTTGCTGGGAATTGTGTGGAAGTCATTGATGCAATCAGGGTTTTAGTATTATTTGTTTATTTATTTTTATATGTTGAATTGTTTATATATTTTTATACTTTGAATTATTTATATATTTTTGTATCTTATTTATATATTTTTGTATATTCATGTTAAATGATTAAAATTCAAAACGGTTATAAATTTTCAATTTTTAGGCCTTGATTATCACAAAAAAGTGAAACACTCGTTTCACTAGATCACGTATACTTACATAGATATGAAGAAATAAATAATGAATAAAATTCTCTTCTGAATCTATCAGCTTCAATTAAAAATTTTTGGTGAAATTCTCAGTTTCACATTTCATTGAGCTAGATTTATAATTTGTATATTCTTTTATAATGTATATTGTTATAAGCATTATAATTTATCTAAAACGAGAACCATTTGTACAATATTACTTACCAGAGTATTCATAATGTTGAGCCATTCATAGAACCCGCGGCAATAAGCACGCGCTGCACATCCAGTGTCATCTTCGACGCGCCCACTCTCACGTTTTTGTTTCGTTATTCAGTTATGTACGCGTTCCTTCTCGTAGTCGTGTGGTCGCATGATCGGCTCTGTAATATGTAATCTCATTTTGTTAAATATATTTTGTCCACTTATCGAATGATTCGTTTATTATAAATCATTGAAGTGAGTTCATGTCTCCAATTAGGCATCAAGGTTTATCTCCTCATTACATAATTGCATAAACAATAATAATTGCAAATTCCATACGGTGTATTTAAATTTATTTTCTTATACCCCTTTCATCATGTTAACGCAAATATACAAATTAAAAAAAAAGCAATTGTAATTTAATTCTTCTGTATATTAAAATTCGAAATTAATACATATAACCATTTTGTGCCTCAAATGTCAAATTAATATTTGAATAACAAAATATTTTCTACCGTCACAATTATCGTTACTAAAAGTAACTGAATTATTTATAATTATAATTGTAAGAAATCTGTTTTAAATATCTGACCTGTTTAAGTGCAAATATTATTTCTAACTGGCTGATGGATCGTTTCCGAATTTCACACTTTCAGAATTAATCACACATTTAGACGCAGTAGGTTATTTGATTAATTACTGCGTCAATCTTGTTCTGTACATCAGTGGCGAAGGTATTGAAATTATTCACACAGACGTACCTTCCTACGGTTATTAATAGCTGAACTCTTCAACGTTTCTATTAATTTCTGTATGTCGATTTCTTCATTTTAACAGTTGATATATTTCTGAATATAGTTCAACTTCCTTTTTGTGAACTTCCATTACTCGAATATCCCACTCCACGAACATTTTATCTTTTTATTCGTATGTTATAGCATTCACAAATATATGAAATGCAATAAAATGAACAATTGCATTCGTATTTTAAGCATAGTGCTTACATTATATGCTTTTTAAAAATCTATATGTGCTTAAAAGTAATCACAAATGTATAATAACGAATAAACTTTTATTTACATTTATGTCCCTTTTTGTAATATATATATTAAATATTATAAAATGTATTTAGTAGTTATTAAATAATAAAATTATATAAAATTAGGAAAAAGTGATTGCATCAGTTATTTAATGTAATCGTTATTTTAATCATTCGAGAAAAGATTAAATAAAATAATAATGAACGAAATAACACTAATTAGTACATATTAACAGAAAAACATTAATTTATACCATCATTTATAATAATATCAACACATTCGTCACACATGTGTTTTTATTTACGATTTTGGGCAAATCCAAGAATTTGTAAGAGCAAATGTTTATATATCTTCGGAAAAGGCACGAGCAAACGGTTCGTTCCATTATACCCGAGGGAAAATAATATATTCGAGAAGCTGCTGGATCTTGGTGGCGCCAGATGGATTTAATTATTTTTTGTACAGTGTGCCCCTTTTTATTTCTTTTCGTTGGCATTACTCAGATTCCATCGGGGCCGCCTCCTTTTACCCGCGACTTTTCTATTATCTTACAAATTACGTGTCTGTCAGTTTGTGGAACTTTTCGCCGTAATTAAATCGCTTCTGGAATCTCGGCTCGTTCGAATTATCCGAAGTTATAATTTCTGAAGAGGGTTCGATAATCGATGCGCGAACGTGAACTACTTTCTATATCGTTCAAAAAACGAGGAGTTCCTTAATGAAGAATTTGCATTGCTGTCATTATCATGGACATTACAACCAACACCCGTGTGCCCTTTCTTTATCTTCGAACTTCGATCGACTGTTTACTCTCATTTATAATGGAATTCATCGATTGTCTGTGTTCTTAACACGAGGTCTTCGGGATGATTTTGATTGATGCAATTACGCGAATGTGCTTCCTAATATACATTTTTAAACATCTAATTACCGAGATCTAAATGAATGAACATCAATCCGTCTAGGAGCAACAAAATAAACTGTACAGTAAATGTCCGTAAACCTAGTGTTAATAGTGTTAAAAATATTTTACATTAATCGAATCAAGTTACATTTCAAATGAAACAGTGGTATTATAAAACTAAAAATAATTTTCAAAGGCTTCAGTTCACTGTTGTAAAACAGAATATGTGCCTGTTCAATCTAATTATTATTTAATATTGTTTTAATTGAACAAAAATTCTATTGAATAGTTTAATGAAATATTTCTGGAGCATATTTTTTAATATGTAACGGGAGTAAAATAAAACTAAATAAAGGTAACAAAATAGGTAATAGGTAAAAAAAGGGAAAAAAATATTAAATGAAATTTGTTGTTTTATATGTTTTATATAAAACTCCATTTTTAAAGATATCGACTTTAAAAAATGATTTCTATTATTTGAGTCAATATGAATATTGTTTTTATTTTGTTCATAGTAGTATATAAATATTTATTATGTACACAATATCAATATATATATTTATTTTTGTTCATGCTTTTGTAGAAATTCTTTATATCACTTTGATTCCTGTTTACGTATGGAATAATGGAATTATGTTTTTTATTGTAGTACTAATTGCGAAGTACCCGCTGTATTACCAGGAACAATGAAATAGAATCATTAAAATCGATGTAGACTAAAAGAACAGGATGATAAACATGAAGAGCGAAAAGAAAATCCGAGACTGCGGGAAACGATCCCTGGTATCAGACTCTGGTCACGCGCGATCGAAGAAACATCTATCGTTTATCATGAAAGCTCGTGTTACTACTTCTTTGCAGAAGTTAAATTTACTGAGATATTGTATTAATGCTCGGTTCCTATTGGTAAATTGAAATGTATCAAGTTATTTCTGAAATTTTTCATGTAACACAAACCACTATATTGACCCCCATTGTACGAAATTTTCTAACAAGAATGTATTTAGATTTTTAACTTTTAATTCTTCAACAATTTTTTAGTATTCCTAAATTTAAGATATTTATGATATTTTTTAGAGTATTGAAGATTGAACGTTTTTAAATTGATTAGACATTACATCCATTTAAGAATGTATCGAAAAGAAGCTTAGATATAATGTGAGTTGAATTGATTGAAGTGACTTGTTCTAACAGTACTTACTTACTGACTTAATGTGAAATTTAATAAACTAAAATTTTCAAAAATACTGTATACAAAAATACTGAATACAAATACACTAAAAAATTAAGAAAATTCAGTGTATATGTAATCTGTGAAAGAAATGTACAGCAAGCAAAATATTAGCAAATAAATTACATACATGTATGGTCACGTTTCGAGTGTTTATAATGTACTTCTAGTGTGATACGAATGGCCATAAAAGTTGCTAACAGTAAAAATAGTTCTGCACAGTATAAGCCAATCCTTACAGCAGTGAAGTTGTATTTCATTTGAAATTTAAAAAGTGTCAACATATACAATTGGAATGTACTGTTACAATACATCAGCGGAGAACGATTTTTTGGTAATTATTATGATTCATTATTTCTGAATCATTTAGTAAATTATATAAATAATAATATTCTTTGTGTTTAAGAATTCACGAAATTATATGAGGTATTAAATATTAAATTTTCATTGTATTTCGATAGAATAGACAGTATAGAATATTCAATTATATAGTTATTTGTTCATTTCTGGTATTTGTCAATATATAAAATATTTAGCTCCAATTAATATTTTCTAAATACTATTTTATATTTTAAATTTAATACAAATTTAGTTCCGATATTACTAGTAATAAAACCGTGTGTAATCAATTTTTGGGAAATAATTTTCTTGTTTACAAAGATTTTATTGTCAATTTTACGTGATATCATTTAGCATCACATGAAAGTTCGTTGCGTTTTTGTATAACATGTATTAATATTTAACATCCGAGACATTACTATTTTATTTATAATATAATTACTTCTGTAAACTATAAAAACGAATTTTATATAACGGTTAATGACACTTGTTATAAATTCATCATACATGTTTCACATGCTGTCCATTGTTAGAATGACACAGAAATAAAAAAAATATCTTTATATCTATATAGTAATTAGAAATATTAACCATATGAATAAATGTGTGTAAAACTGCGTTCTATTTTAATGGTTTTTAATTTACGGGTATTCTACTAAAATTTCTCAACAAATTTGTCACGAATAAACCATAAAACAATAATACGATATTTGATATAATTAGAAGCAAGCAGTTATAAACATTCATTCAAAGTTTTATTGGAAACTTAACAAAAGTTATTAAATGCAGTAATAAATCATTAGTAAATACACATATACGACAGTACAAGAAGAGTATCGTAACACTTTTTTATTCAAACCGATTTTTTTGTTTTTCTATTCTCTGTCTGTAAATTAACATTCAGAGAATTTGATTTAGAAATTGTTACATATTAAGTGTATTTGATTAATCGCACCGGGGTACTTTATGTATAACTATTCATATCATAACAAGTTAAATAATTAGGTATAAAATAAAGGTAAACAAGTTTGATGAGAAATTTCGCTTAGCAAAAATAGAAAAGAAAGGAAGAGAAAAATTGAAGAGCTAATTAATTATCTAAAGTGTATATTCGTCTAAATTCTAGATGTCTATATTCTAGACGAATACGCACTTCATTATTTGATTTCATTGTGAGCATCATTAGAGGTTTCTGAAACTCAATTCCACAGTTATCAGGTTAAAGTAGCCTGAACAAATATACATCTACCCTGTGACAATTAAACTAGTCTGCTAGTAAATAAAAAGAATGTGATTTCTTGAATGAACAGCAGTCGAGAAACCCGATAAATCTTAACAATCACATAGCGTCACGAAGCGCCCCGAAATACTTCGCGAAACCGCAGGGGATGCGAATAGAGATCAACTTCCTTTTCTCCGTTCCGCCCGTTCAAGTGACCGCGCAGCACGGAGTGAGAACGAACAAATGATATTTCCGCATTATCGTTTCTATCGGGAAACAATAGACATCGATCAACGGTGACCGAGCTTTCGATGTTTCTCGAGATATTTCGCACGCGATTGTCAAATTCCAGCGTTCCCTGCTAACTCAACGACCGACCGTAAGTTTCCGGGAATAAAATCGTCGGGCGTGTATACAATCGATTCAGCGTCGTTTTTTTCTTCTTTTTTGTTTCGTTTTGTACGGAAACCTTTTTTTATAGACGAATGCGTTTCAGCCGGACAGAAAAAGTGGAACGTTGTTAAATATCTTTTTTTAGAACGTGTCTCGTTTCAACTCCCTCGAGGTTAGCAATATTCGTGGGTGCACACCGCGCCGATACGAACAAGTGCATCGAAGTGCAAGCTTCGAGCGATAGTTGCCGAGGTATACAAGTATCCGCAGTTTTACTGAGTAGGAATAGTACATCTTGTTAACATTCAAGCTTATGTTTCAATTGTCTGTGGGGTTTAATATATAACAGTTTTAACATGAACCATATCGTGATATTAAAATTTGATCTAAAATTCTGCGTTCTTTTCCGTTCATTTCACTTTGTATTAACTTGTTAACTGTGGGATTTAGTTTCAAAAATCTCGCGTTCTGTGCGTAATGAAACTAAAAAATGAAGTGTATGATTAATTAAATACATTTCATTAAAAATTAATTATATTCTATAACCACGTTATATTTTAATATATTATTATATATTAAATTTTTTAATTAAATTATATAAAATTCAAACTTTTATATATTAATATATTTTAATACATTTTTTTTTATTTAGATATAGTCATATTTATGTTCAGTGTTATAACAAATTACAAATATTGTAATTCTATTATCTGCTACATGTAAAAATAAAACTAAAACTACATTTTTTTATGCATGTATTATTATCTGCAGAAGTCATGTCAAAGCTATCAATTTTATGCTATTCTATCAATATATTCACTATCATACAAACACTCATCAAAACTCCCATATAGTCGAAACGATTTTTTTAATGATCCTGGAATTTAAAAGTTAAGATTCTTCATAAAAATTGCTCTACTGATATTTTTACATTTCATACACCCAACAAAATTAGGTTCGCTGGATACTCCATCAAGAAAATTAATTTTCAAGTTTATTTAAAAAATAATGTTACTCAAATTCGAGTAACGTGGCAGTTAAGATGCTAGAAAGATATCTAATTAACGCCTTGCCCTATGATTTGTTATAAATAACTACTTTGTTAGTAATAATTTATTGAAATGAAACAATAATACTGGGCATAATCTATGTCTATGTTTGCTTCAAAGTATAATAATTGATAACGGAAAACTAATACGTAATTTACGTTTGTTAAAGGCTGTTTAAAATCTCCATCACGAATCTGACATGTTATTATAAGACAAGGGATTAACACGTTCAGTGCCGCCTGTACCACATATATTACATGCCAATTTTTGTAAAAAAATATTTTCAAGGAACATGTACATTACATTTTTTAAACGGTTCCCCATTATAACGGCACACTTCTTTCTCTGTCATCGATAGTTGTGCACATCATAGTCTAATCTAACGTAATTGCACAGTGGAAAATTCTATCAGTCTCAAATCACAGTGCTACATTTATACTACGCAGACCTTGTCAAACTTTGACATAGAGAGATCTAGCTTCGCGGATAGTTCCGATGTAGCTAAAAGGTTAAAGGGGTTAAGAAAATCAATACAGTTCTTAAGCAAAATATACGCGAAATTTCCGATAGCCCAGAACGTGTTAAATTTCTTTTAAAGCTTCTAACATTTCCCTGAAAATCGTGATTTCTTAATTTCTTAGAGACGTTTCTCATATTATCAAGCGTCGATTACACGCAGTTCCATTACTCAATGTTCGCGGACAAAATCACTCGCGGCTATTAAATCCGCTCAATGTAATCAATAGGGATAGTAAACCCAACAGCGAGCAACCAAAGCGAGTTGGAGTTGGATGGCTCTCCAGCCATTAAAATCGCTCCTCGTAATATACATAAAGTGAGGAAACTAGCTGTGTGTTGTTGGCCGTGTAAAACTCTGATGCAGGAAACATTCGAAATCGAACAAAACATACGATAAGCGAGCGCGCCAGTTGCCTAGCTCTCAGTATATATAGCTGATATTGACGATGAGCGGTGGGGTTCGCTTATTTGTTGGCGATAGACGCGTACGCGTACTGTGTAATCAACCCTTTAAGCTATCAAAAAGATTGATATGAGTACGTAATTAATAATCATGCTTTCAATTGAAAATTGTTTACCTTTAGATAACCCCTTGTTTTCTAATAAAGTGACAGACTCGTGGCAAAGGTTTCAAACAGAATTTAGCACTAAAGCTATCGAGCAGTTAAATTGACTTTTTAAAATTGCTTTATAGAAACTCCAAGAGTGCATCTATTGAGACTTTAATTGATTTATAATTTAGTTTTCGTATTGTTAAATCAATTGTTTTAATTTATTAGAGAAATATCAGTTACATTTTAATAATTGCAAAACGGAGAATGGGCTATTTTGACCTGCCTGGTAGTTCTAGTGTTAAGAAATATAAATACTACTCAGTTCGTTTAAGTTCAAATTACATATTATCTTTTTTGTTATCAATTATTATACTTTAAAGTGAACGAAGATATGGAATATAGATAGAATTTTCCTTTTTTTCAATAAATTATTAATGACAAAATAGCTGTATTGATTGTACTTGAGAAAGAAATCATAGGGTAAAGTGTTAATAACTTAGTGACTCCGAACGGTAGTTCGGATAGTTCCAATTTCTATACATAAGCTCTTAGGTAAAATAGTTTTTGTCAAATGTTTTTGGATTAATAAAACACTGATATTGCAATGTTATTAATAATATTAATTACTATTAATCATTAATAATAATATTTATAATGTATAATTGTCGTGCTAGGAGGCGATCTCTCCGAGGTTGTAGTAGAAGATTCGGTTGGAGCGTCTGGCGCGATACAGGACTGTTTTTGAAAAGTGCTTAAAGCACGTGGCCCGATGGTGGACCATAAATTAAGTGTCCCATCGCTGGCGAAAGCGGGGCTGCACTCAGTCACAGCCGAACCATCGCGCAGAATAGATCTTGTATTTTAAACCGTATCACAATAAACGTACTCCTTATTTTCTATAGTAATTTTACTGTTTCTGCCCACAGCACCTCTGATATAAACCTCAAAATTACTACAATAATTAGTCATTCTTAATATTATTATTGATTACAAATTATAAATAGCATTATGTTATTAATTATTGATATTGGTAAACGCTTTTCAGATCAATTAAGCATTCATATCACGTTTATTAATATTAATAATTTTATGACAATACAATTTTCTATTTTTATTTTCCTCATAGAAAATTATAATTTTCTGATAATGTTTTGATTCTTAATTAATTGGAAAAAAATTAATTTGACTTATGTTTAATTTCTCTAATTATCTCTCAGTTTGTAAATCCAGCTTTTTCCGTAGCATTTTGAATTATGTAGTTCTACCAAAATTTGAAAGTGGCTTGGGAAAGAGGAAACCTTCAAAAAAGTGTATTTTCCTCCAATAGAACAATTTTTCAGTACGAACATAGATCACAGTGAAAGCCAAATATCGCTTTTGCGCTCTCCGTTATTTCAATTTCATCCCTTTGATAATATTTTGCATTGGGAATTTTTTAGTACAACACGCACAAAGAATAGAATTTCATTTAGGAAATATTGGCAGTCCTTATTTTTGTCGACAGATAGAGCTTTTTGATCCATGGAAATACGTCCGTGCAGAATTGTAATCGGGTTTTGTTTTCGACATTTTATGCACGACGAGATTACGCACACCATTTGGTGGGCAACGAAATCTCTGGGATATGCTGCGTCTCACGCTGCAATTTAAGAAAATCTATGACCATAAGATGCGACCAATAATCGTCTAAAATTAAAAATTAAAATTTATCTTTATTAACCCTTATATCTTTCTGTACATAATTTGTCATATTTTACTGAAGATTTAACGAAATTACTGTTGTTATTTATTTTTCGAACAGTTTTGCACCGATTTGTGCTTCGAAAATGAAAAATTTATATAAAAATATTTCGAGTAAAGGTAAACATTTTGGTAACTAACATAAAGGTTAACACGGGAACAACCGTACCCGTCAAAATGACAGATTTTAGTTTTCTTATTTCGCAATTATTGATATGTTGAAAGCGACATTAAATATCTGAAATGATTTGAAAAATAAGTAGTTTCACTTCAATACTATAATAAATATATAAAAAAACCTACAAAACATTTATTGCTACAAGTTTTATACGGATTACATATTAGTCATGTTACACGCTTGATGGATCATTGTTTTTATCAAACATGTTTATACCCAATTATATATGCTGTTTATTTAAATATTTAAGGAAACACTAATTTTCATTCGTTATAATTGAAAAATGAAAGCTTGGATTAAAGGAAGGTTGTATTAACAGTGTCGCGCAAGCAAAATATACATTTATTTTATAATATGTTTAAAACATCAGTTATTGAAAATATGTAAAATAATTAATTTTTCTAAATTTATAAATGTTTGCATCTCCTTAAGTATTCAGATCACAGGGAATATTAGAATAAATGATAAATGTTAAAGTAACTTTGGTACTTTCAGATTTAGAGTTGCTGAAGAATTAGCATAAATAAACAAATTTATAAATATGCAGATCGTTGCCCTTCGAGTAGTCTCTCATGGAAATTCTGTAGACTAATGACTTCGTTCACTCTGCACATACATCAATCACGTAGGTCGACACAATTATAAAAGGGTATTGAAAATAATAATAAAAGATACCTTTAAACGAATTAGTCGTATATTATACAAATAAATATTTACAGAATTTATAAAATGTTTTAAAAATTTAATTATAATTACATTATAAGTAAATTTCAAAAGTTAAAACACTCCTTCCTTAGATTTACAAAATTGCAAAGAGAATAAACAATAATAAATAAACAAAAATAAACGATAGAATAGAAAAAGTTTTCATCTCAGATCTAGTTTCATATTTTTTGTTTAATAAAATATGTTTCAGATTAATTTCTGGTCTTGAAATATTCGCTAAGAAGAAATTAAATATGGAAGGGCCACATAAACGAAGTAAGTTTCTAGTATCCTTCGTATGATTTCCTTAAGTTGCATTACAACAAATTTTAATAATAGGAAATAAAAGCTTGCAAAATGAAGAAGCCGAAAGCTCAAATGTTATTGAATCAGAAGAAGAAACTACACCAGATGCTCCGAAGAAAAACTTGAAGTACTACTTTAACAGATTTAGGTATTATCATTATTATATTGCTGAAAAAGTGGATACTGCGATTGGAGTCGTGTGTTTTATGATAATAAAAGTATACTTTTTCCTGACGGGTTATGAACAGTTTGGTTTGGAAACTAACGAAGCGACAAACATGATGAACATGGATGTGGATGATTAATACTGATGAATTTATGTATTTTATTGTAAACATTTTATAAAATATTAGACACGGAAACTGAATATACTGTTATATATTTCTGAAGTGTTTATCTTAACCCCTGGACCCATAATTTCCTTCGCAACTGCGCGCGCTACTTTGTCATTGAGAATTTACTAGAAACAAAGAAGAATTGTATGTTCACCTACATCAACGTTTATTTAAACACTAGAATTGTTTTTCAATTATTGATTTAAAAGTATTAAATATCCAAAGTGATTTTGAAAATAAATAGTTTTACGTAAATACTATAACGAATATCTGAAGAAATCGAAAAAGATGTATTCTTACAATCTTTATCAGGATCAGATTTCAACCCTAATAAATGCTTAGTAGTTCTAGTGTTAAAACATAACAGTCGATAACAGAAGAATAATATTAAATCTAAACTCAAAAGAATTAAATTATATTTATCTTTGTTAACTACTGTTTAAGATTTTCCTCGCGAATCTGACAGGATATTATATGTCAAAGGGTTAGTGTTTTAACGTAAAAGATATTCTTAAAATGTTTACATTAATTAATCATTATTTAATAAACTATTCAATAAATTAATTTCGATACATCCAAACTGGAGTATAAAGAAATTGGAAATTCAATAAATGTATTTTCGTAAATTTTATAAGAAAATACACAATAATCAATTTTACTGTACGGTAGTTCTGGTGTTAGAGAATTTCGAAAGTAACAGAAGTATGACTGAAATCAGCTATATTTTCCCTTGAACTACAATATATCTCGGTTCGAACAAAATTCCAGATATCGTTCTCAAGAGTGATCGATTTCGCTTAGAATGGCAGTCAATGGAGTGAGGCTCATATAATACTGTCTCGGTTCGTTTGTATGTAATTTAAAGTACGCCTTCTGGTACTGTGCTGGCAGCTGAAGGACTTAAGATATTCACGAGTCGATCGTAAAAGATGCAGTCCAATCTCCGCGAGGTGTAGCAGTACGTAATGGAAGCCCTTTTGAGAAACTTCCTGCTTCGTAGTTACCCAACGAAAGTTATTTTGCATGACTAGCCGTTGAGGTTGTCTCGAATGTTTACTGCTAGAATCTGCAGCCATTATTCCAATTCTTTTTCTTATTTTTTTCATTCCTGAAAGGAAATGAACACACGCAACGTATAACTCCTTTTCCTTTCTCGACCACTGCGAGAATATATCGGAGTAAATTTATTTAACCAGACGAATACCATTTTTCCTTGCAGCTCGAAATATTACTGTTGCATCTTAATGATAATTCATTTTATCGTATGGAATAATAACGTAACTTTGATTTGAGAGTATTATGAGAGTAATATTATGAATGTTATGAGATGAATATTAAGTTGATTTCTTAAATATTTCGAATTTGTCAAGTGTATGTTAAATTTTGTGATTAATTGTACGTAAAAGGATATAGATTTTTTATTTGAGTTTATTAGTGATTACCAACATTTGGATACATCGCTTATTACTCAACAATGCTTAATATATAACGACTTATTGTACAATAATATACTAGTTGTATAAATTATACTTTAAGATTTTCGGAATAGACATGACTTATATAATTATAATGAATTTAGAAGGTTAATTTGTCTGAAAAACTTAAGCACATTCTGGGTACTGATGGGATCATTTAGGTTCGTCTTCATATCAGATTACAGATTATCATGTTACAATTGTTTTTTTTGGAGGAGAACTAGGGGCAATTTATTAGAGTATGTTTAATGCTTAGAGGTATTTTGCAAAGTATGTAATTAGGAAACGTGTAATGTGTATCGATGATATTTCGAGTTCTTAGATTAGGTGCTTTTATTAGATACAAGTTGAAAGTAAGTAGTTTTCGATATTCAATTTATTGCTTTACTTCAACTTTTATTATCGTAATTCGTGTGTTGTATTGATCTTTTATTTGATTTTTATACACTGTAGAATATTTTAAAACATTACTGAAATATGATATAAGTATCATTGTCATAGAAATAGTTGCGTTCATATGCAACAATAAATGTATAATTACATAACAAATAAATAATTACAAAAATTCAAATTATCGGATAACGTAGTATTTCTAATATAATGCAGGTTCAATATTGAAGTGTGATTTCAATACGTACTTGAATGCACTTTTTGCAACATTTTTATGTCCTAATTTGAAAGGCATGAAAAAATGTTTATCGCAGGTGGCAATATATCGAACGATAAAACGAAACTGTTCCTCTGTAGTGTTACAAAGTCGTGTTATCAACCGTAGGCGTGTGTATTTTATGCTCGGTGTTATGACGGCGTTGTTGATACGCGCATTATTTCACAGATCAGACCATTTTTCTTGTATTTCGAACGTGAAAATGCTGAAGTATTGAACCATTGAAGTTTGCTTTAAGAGAAGTGTCGTGAGTATTACACTTTAATTTTTCAAAACGACTAAAACCAACAAGAATCTTGAAGATTTTATACGCAATGGGCAGTGGTTTACACTTCCAAAATGCAGAACATTTTTTATACATTTCCTACATGTAAAAACTAAACTGTGAAACTTATCGATAATAAATTCGATAAAATAAATTTGTCAATATTTTATATACCCATAATTTATATACAAGGTAAACCAGCTTCTATTTTGCCTGACTGTAAGTTTCAATAATTCAACAATCAATCTGTATAAATCTATAGTTTTATGGACATTTATATAATTTCCAAAGGGTTCAGAGATAATTTATGTTAACAATACTCAGAACACGTGCCATAATGTAGTGATGGACGAATGAAAAAAATCTATTTATTAATACTGATATAATTTCACCAATGTGCAAATTTTATTGAGATTAAATTTCAATTCTTACGAATTTTTCGATATAAATTGCTAATTTATTACTGTATTAATAGAAAGTAATGTGGTAATTAAAATAAAATTTATTTTGTCAATGACATTGCTCTATCAATTTATATTTTATACTACACTCTTTTAAATTCTCATATACAAGTATGTATTAACTAGTTGTATAATTATATAATCACTGTTTTTTATGGATTATTACTTAATTTTGATTAACATTTGCAATCAACTGAATTAACTCTTTCAACTTGAAGATATTTTTCATTATAAATGTTCATTATTTTCTGAAGAAATATTAACAATACTGGTGAGAACTTACATAAAGAAACGTTTTGCATAAATTAAGGGACAGGATTGTTTTACTTCTATGTTTCATGTGTTGATAGCTTAAATATTAGATACTAAATTCAACATTCAACATTCTAATATATAGTTCAATAAAATATTCAACATGTGATAGTAAATTTTGAATGCTATAATTTTGCCGTGTCAAATCGAATGGCGACTAAGAATCGCCTTTCAAGTGCAGAAGGTTATTTGAAGCGTCATAATTAGCATAATCCTTTCCTTGAATCTGTATTTCTGTGAAAACTGTCCACTTGCAGAGCACTACTATTGCTCCCCATATTATTTTCTACATGTCTGCGTACCGTTGGTTGAATTTCCAGTCATTCAATCGTGGAATCGAAATTATTCAAATCATACTAGATTTCCGTTCATTTCTGTCATTTCAAATTCAGAGCGAATAGATAAATACATGCAGATACGTCGATTCTATTTATTGAAGTATGTAATGTTACATATGGAATGAAGCGATAACAATGGTAATCAGTTATTCTAATTGAATGTTAATTCTAAGAACGACAATTATTCGGATGTCCAAACTCGTCTGTCGAATGTTATTTAATTATAAATTTCATATTTTCAATATAAATATTATGTGTACAGTATTCTACAACACTTTTCTTGAGTTACAAAATCACGTTATCAAATTTTTAATGTTACGTGAAAATTTAACGCCATTGAGATCAAAATTGCCCTCTTTGAAGTACGGAAACCACTTCTGAACCGTCGAGTCGTTGATAGAATCTTCTCTATTGACGGCTCGAATATTTGCACCGGTAAGGTAGCGTTTAAACTTAGAATACGGACAGCAACGCGCATTCAGAACATTTGCTTTTTCCACTGGGTATTCCATAATTATTTTTAAAGAGTTGAATTTAAATTTTCATTCCAAATTAAAAGATCCAGTAACGCAATTTTATACAAGATGATAAGATACTGAATAATGCGTAACATTTAATATAAAATTGTAAGGCAAAGAAGGTATAGTAGGATAAGGGGGTCAAAAATGCTCTTAAACCGATTTTTCTCGCGAGAGTTTTCTTCCATAGCTCATCCATAAAAAATATTGTACACCAATTTTCAGCCCTATATCTCAATCAGAAGGGTAGTTATAGGGTAAATTCGAATTATCAGTTTTTGTCCTATTTCCCTTATTTAATGGTAAATAAAAATTGTAAAAAGAATCGAGGACATTTTTGACAAAGTAGTGCATGGTTAAGAATTTTTTTAGATTTTTTCGTTTCAAATTCTTAGCATGAAAAATGAAAAAAAAACCCAAAAATAGAAAAATGCAGATTTCGCAATGAAGCATTCGAGCGACAACTTTTTAATTTTTATAGTAATAGACATATTGGTATGACAGACATTCTGAATTTTTTTCAGTTTTTTGGCTTGCTGCGCCATCGTTAAAAAACGAAAAACTAACTTTTAGACGCATTTCAGATGATGAATGTGAGTTATCTATCAAAACTTCATCACTGATTTTAATGATGTGTTTGTCGAAGCATTTAGGTTGTCTGATTGGGGAAATTTTTAATTACTACAATTTGGCTGGAGATTTACAATTACTACAATCTCCGCTGGAGATTTTTAATTACTACAATTTTCCAAAATATCGTTGTTCTTCTTATGTTCCCGTTCATGATAGAGTTCGAATTTATGTACAGATTATATACATAGTATACTATATATACATATATTAACATTAGATTTACGAACATTCATTGTATATTTCATTCTATGGTTCTTATAGGAATGTACATTCGTTTATACATTCATATAACAGTATTAATCAAAATCGACGTGAATATTTACCAACAATGTTCATAAAATTCAATATGCGTCAAATTGATGCGTTCCGTACACCCAGCGTTAACCTGTTGACTATGGAATTTAGAATAAAATCAAAAAATAAAGTGTGTGCTTATCAAATGCAACACGAATGCACCTAGACTATATTTTAATGAAAAACCAAAGCAAAACAAAGAAGAATTACACGTTTATCTGGAAAAATAAGTAATTCATTGTTGAAAGACTTAGTATCATTTCAAGCTTTAAGATGACGTGTATATTCGTCCAGTTAACTGATTAAAGCAGCTTCGCGCACGCGTGTTTTAGTTTGTATAACAAAAATCACAAGTTGCCGAACACCGGTCGGCCGAATTGGAACGATGGAAGAACGATAGCCATTCGATACATCCATCAGGAAACGTTTTTAGAATCGGATTTACGGGGGGTCGGTCTGCGGCGGATATGAAAATTTAAGCGCAGCCGACGGCACTGCAGGTGCAACCCTACGCTCGATAATTTATCAGGATCATTCCGGGGCTGGCGCTAGCGGGCTAGAATAGGGCGCCGCCGAATTTATGATAACGATAACATTGAATAATTCGCGGAAACGATTGATCGCGTACATTCAACGGCTAGACCGGTCAGCCGTGACACGCTCTCGCCGAAACTGACAAGCATGCACCCTGTCAAAAACGAGAATCAAGTAAACGCTATTTACTTTGGGAAAATAATGTGTAGGCTCCAAATAACTTGATTATTTATTAAAATTACAGTGGACCGTATGGATAGTTGATTCTTGGAGTTCGCTTGTATAGCGACCTTAATCGCTAGAATTAATAAACAGAAAATGTATAAATGTAAATTAGGAATGCTCCTGAGCCTATGAAGTCGCGTTGCTCGACTGATGTACTAATTCCTAGAAAAACTCTCGTTGTTGATAAAACGAAAGGTGGGGGTGTCTTCGGCGATTTTCAAAAATCTTGAAACTGTGTAATTTTTCTATGGACGGTTGCTCTAAACGGATTTGTCATTGGTGAAATGGAATACCTGTATAAATATTTTATTTTAGCGCGTAAACCTCTTATTTGAGCGCGCGAATGATCATGCCCTCGGCCAAAAAGGGGCCCCGCAGGTAAGAAAGGTCTTGGCTGGTTGTTTACAATTTTCCGGCATGTATTAGATGACTACGAAAAACCATAGTCTATTCTCCTGGAAGTAATAAACATGAAGTGGCGAGTATAAACAATGTAATAATCCCTGCTGGTACAAGGATGCATAGAAATTTAAAAGGCTTTAGATAGGCTGTGACTCCTTGTGTTGCATTGTAGAAATTAAAGAATCTTCTGCAAATTGCTGCTGCCTATGGTTTTGAATCTCTAACATAATATAAGTGTCACTTAGGAAGTTCGCCGAAAATTATTATTTATAAATAGCATTTTATTGGGTTAATGCAATAATTTTGACATTTTTTGTACGTGATTGATAAACAAATTGTTTTCTTCAAAACAAATAACATTTGTTTTCAAATTATTATAATGTGCATAAAAGACACTGCTTTCTTCGGTTTCACTTAATTCTGATTTAACCAGTGAATAGTTGAAAACCCTTTTTTTATTTTTTATAAAAATACGTTAAAACTTTTGCATCAATCTATAATATTTATAATAGTAGGAAGCATTTACAATTTGTGCACTTATACCGTGAGATGTGAGTTGGACTCATGGAAAAATAAAAGAACGTAATCGGCGGCTGTAGAATAAAGCGTTGTAATATTTGTAATGTACTAAACTAAATTCACGTGGTGTAATTTTAATGCTAAAATACGTAAACATTTCATTGTGTATCGGATTTAATCAAATCTTGTTTACTTTTCGTTTTCTAGAGTTAACCACTTTACCTAATGAATGGATAAAATATGTGAGAAGAGCATTGGATTTTTCGATACAAATTTTCGTTTGCCCTACAAAACGAGTTATTATTATGTAAAGTTGTAATTATTGTGAAATGGACTTACTGTTATTCAGACATTTCAAAATGAAATTTTAAATATAATAATAGCTAAACAATGGTATGTCAGAGAATTTTTATGAAGAGCTGGTAATAAAAAACGCCAATAACTAAATGTATTAAACTACTAAATTAAAATGTTTAAACTTAATTGAAACGCAGCACAGAGGGTGAAATATGAATGATAAATTTTGTTTTTATTTTTAGGTAAATTGGATTTTGTTCATTGTGACCATTTGTAAACGTACCTACAATTTATTTTACGATGTTTCGTTAATAGTACCCGTTCCTCGTAAACAACAGATCGAGCTGTCACGAAAACATTTCCTGTTTTGTTTTTAATAAATACAAATGCATGGATTTACCCAGAAATTATAAAATTGAAAGAAAGCTGGAAAATCGAATTTGCGGAATTTTTTCAAGATTCCGTGTTTGTTCAAACGGTTAAAATTAAAGTCATACAAATCAATTGTTTTTATGATTCCAATAAACATTCTTGATGCAGTGTTATAAAATTTTGGAGAATGATTTCTATGCTCGCCATTGTGAGAATTTGTATTTTAATTTTATTACTGCGTATTACATATCACTTAACTATTAATTCCATTATGAAGAAATTTTTGATTATTGATAACGTTGATGCCTTCACTTTTTGACTCCCGAGCTTTCAAGAATTCTCTTCAGATTCCTTTTAATATATAGCTATAAAAACGAAATTTTTCAATGAAATAAACATAATTTGATATTTATCTGAATACCTCAAGCATTCCCTTATAGTTGACTGAAATTTAGAAATGAATGTTTAACCCTTTAGTTTATTTCTCAACTACAATAGATACAACTACCTTATCATTAATATTTATTGAAAAAAGAGAAAAATTTTGGATATATTCTGTCAATGTTTGCTTTGAAGTATAATAATTAATAACACAGGAATAATATTTAATTTAAATTCATAAAAATTGCATAAATATTACTCTTGTTGAATTCTGTTTAAAATCTCCACTACGAGTGTGCACATTATTATAAAATAAGGGATTATCTCATGACTATGAACCCATAACTCATAACTTATGCTTAACTTATAACTGTAACTAAAATGAGCGTTTTAGAAATTTGAAATTCATTCTAAAAGTTGTTAAGTAGGAAAAAAATGCTAGTATTTTATAAACAAAATCTGCTTTATAGTTATGAAACAAGTAAATTATAATAAATGGCATAATTATTAAATATACATTTCCATTGTTAAGTGTTCGAGATCAGATTTACGTAACTGTGCTGCATTTTTATAATTCCGAAAAATTGTGTCTTTTTAAGTGCAATTAAACTCGTGTTACATTTTCCAATTAGAATTTCTAAAACCGACGTAAGAGACGTGTGGTAAATACACACTTTATACAACGCTCGGAATCTATTAGCGGAAGTTGTTATTAAACCCTTGGGGCAAGCAATCTCGTCTAAACGGCAACCACATATGTTCCCTTTTGCGAGTTCACTACAGCGTAGCCTCAAGACTTACAATAAGATCTTATGCGCAGAAACAAAACGATTGACACAACCGCAGCGCACTGTTAAACTGCATCTAAGATTGCGCGCATTCGGAATTTTGCGAGTTATGATATATAAGATAGAAAATAATTGAACATATAGCCATATATGTTCGTCTTAAAATAAATTGTTATCAAAAATTATATATTATTCTTGTCACAAACATAATAACGAAACAGAATATTCATTCACTTTGAATGTTTAAGGATTTTAGTACTTTTTTAGTACTTTATGTACTCTTTTAGTAAACGTTTTATTTAATAATGTTATAAGGTAATCTAATACTGTGAACAATTTTTTTAGCTCCATTTGGAATTTGTTTAAAGCTTTCATGTAAGATATTGTTAAATAAATATTAATTTATTACTCTGGCTTCCCTTCAAATCACGCATAAATCTTTCGCCTTTCACTAAAGATTTCCGTAGAGGGGAGCACTTGATGAGTCTAAAGTGACAATTTTTTGTAGTATCTACTTACTGTATGTTTCATGACTATTACAATAAAAATAAGAAGAGACTGATCAATTTTTGTTATTTTATGTCTGTTTTTAATTCATTATAATATTTATTGAGGACTGTTTACAAATATGTATTCATATTTACTTTAATTTTTTGAATTAAAATAACCATAAATATTTAGTACAATGATTAAAATATTATAAACTGTAAATGATTAGATATATATAAGTACAACTATTAATATTTTTAATTACTGGAATTGTATAGGTAGATCGAGCATACAGAATTCAGACGTAAATAATAAAATGGTAACTTAGGTTAATGTTGCAAATATGGAATTGAAACGATTGCAAAAATGTACTGTACTTCTATTACGGTTATGTTGCTAGTAAAAATATTTCACAATGCATATCAGATATAACCTAATACTGTATCACATAACTGTGGGTTATAGAAAGAGGTATGAAGTGCCGTGGCAGTATTGCATTTACTTCCTCTGACACGTATGGTATGATAACGTATGACTTCGCATGCTATAATAGTAATGCGACTACATCATAGACAATAATCGCTATGGTGAACATTCATGCATTTGCAACAAGTTATAAAGCCTTGTTACATCCGAAAGTGTGAGTCACATTATTTGTGCATATCTATATACTAGAGTATACTACATAACAATATTCAGTGACGTTATGATTTAATGTTTTGTTTAGTATAATATGTAGTACTTCATCAAGTTCGTATACTTCTTGTAAAGTTGTGTTACAAGCTGTGTGTATTAAATAAAGTCATATGATATAGATCTGCGATTGATTTTATGACGACGTGGTTAAAAAAAAAGATAATCTTAAACACATTGTCTTCACAGAGTTTCTCTATTACGAAACGAATATTGCCACTTTTCTATTATTACACAATTTTTATATTATAATACAAGAATATTCTACTGGCAATTACTTAGTTTGTATTAATATATATAAGTTAATATTTATTAGTATTATTCCACTATCTTCTTTTTAATATCATTATTGTAAATCTTCAATGAATCATTTTTTAAATAACTTCTACATATTGTTTTCTCCTTTACTTTCACTCATTAACCAAATGAACAGATCAATCATTAATCTCCAAGAATTCTGCACTGACTTCCTTAGTTAAACAGGTTTAATTCATCGAAACATTGTACATCTTATAAGAGTAATTGATTCATGCCTCATTCAAATCGAATCTAATTGTTTAGTAACCTGTAATACGAAACGGTATTCCATTGCAAATAAAGCTGTTGGACCAGATATAGTAATTTCATTCAAATTTGTTCAACTGTGCGTTACTGTGGCTTTTCCTTGGTTGCCACAAATCTCAAAGTTGCGTGTACAACGCAGAATAGTTCGTTCCCCCATTTCCGCCCCAAACACTTTTCGCATAGTTCTAGCGAATTACACTGGTGCGCAGTACAACCGAGAGTGCGATTTAAATAGTTTGAAGGGCTTTCTCCCGGTAAAAATTCGATACCGGCCCTTCCACAACATTTTCGTTGACATATTTATGATGAACAATTTTTATTTACATTTTTCACACTTTTAGTTTAATGTTCCATGCTTTCGATTCCCTACAAGATTTATTTTATATTTTCACTTTTTATTGGAATCTATAACACCATTTATTTTTTAATGTCACGTTCCAATTTCATATTAAATTCCACAATAATAATATTGATGGTAATATTAATGAAGATGATTATAATGATGATAATAATAGTAATGATTTACTCTTTTAATAAATGTAGGTACTACTAATAGTTTTATTATTTCTCATTATCATTTACTATTTTACTATTTATTAATCAATCAATATAATTATTGTTTGTTTATAAAGGTAAATGTTTCTATAATTTCAGCAAATGTTATTTAATGAATACACTAAGGACAAAAAGTATGATTCTAAATTTTTTTATTAACATCGACTGTCACGATGATCACTGATGTTCGGAGTTTCCAAATTGATGAAGAACAATTACAATAAAAAGTTTGATTTCAAATAAAAATATTTAGTAACATAAGTACCTAGATAATGGTGTAACTTAACTAGTGTGATGCAAACTCATTAATAATTATTTTCAATACCATTTGCGTTGTTACTAAAAAATAAGTATTTCTATACAAAACGCTACAAATTTTCGTGACAGTCAACGTGTTAATGAAAATAAAAAATTTTATTCTTCGGAGGTTTAATGAAGTTAATATATCTATGTGTGTTAATATATCTATGACGATATTTTTTATATCGTCATAAAACAATATTTGTTTTCATTAATTAGTTTAACATAATTTACTTTCATTAATTAATGTTTCCTCTATTACGTATCTACTGAAAATACAATCACAATAAAACCTTGTATTATTTTCATACTTATTTTATACTGCAAACGCAAATATTTGAAATACATGTAGTTATTGAGTATTAAAGCAAATATCATGTACAAACATTTTGAAGGTTTAATTAAAAATATTGTGATTAATTTAATTACTTTGCCACAGATCTAGTAAAAGCCAATTGAAGTACTTCAAATAGTAAATTTGTTTTAAATTTTTGTACCGAAATTTATTTCATAGATTTTATATAAATTAGTAAAAATTTATTTGTTTGAAAATACGATTATATTTTATATTTTTAGATGTTTTATGTTTTTATGTTATAAACAACTATCCGTATCCCTCAACTGTAGCAATCCTCTAATAGCAGTACGTTCAAAAATAATGTATGATCCGATATCCCATTGAAATTTATGCTTTATAGTCTACAAACATCAATATATTTATATTTATAGTCTATGAGCGTGTATTAATGCTTACTCTACTGATTTATTAAAAGATTAAAAATATAATACTCAGCGTAATGATATTATTATTATAATTTTTATAGTTTCCTAAGAATACATTTTTTTAATGCCTTATAACCGTCATAACACTATGCACTGTTATATCAGATATATAAGTTTGACAAATAGTTGATTTACCTGACTATGAGGTACCTTCCAAAATGATACTATCATGTATCTGCTATAGAAATCAATAAATCGGATTATCTCTATCATGCGAGAATTATTATAACCAACTTTGAACCTAATTACTTGAAAAATAATAACATTTGAAACAATTTTCATTCCTCTCCTCTTAAATAAGTTGCTTTAATCAATATTTTTCTGAAACATTAGGTCAACTACAATTACTATACCACTTAAAATAACTCTTTTAAAGTTTCTTATTTTCCAATTATTAGTATTATAAAGGTATTAAATATCCGAAATTATTTTAAAAACCAATAGTTTAATTTATAAAAAGTGATTCATCTAACTGTTGCAATCTATACTTTTGACTGAAGTTGGAAGACAGTGTTAGATTTTTTGATAGGTGTAATTGTGCATGTACATTCGGTAACTAGATTATTTTCTTTAATTGAAGTCTAATTTTTTCGGACAAGTCGAATACTCTTTACGTTTCGTGTAAAGAAGTATTGGTATAATATGGTAGACAAATGATTACTTTAATCTGGTGTTAATATTTAGCTCAAGAACAAATCATACATTATGAAACATACACACGCAAACGTAATACAAGACTTCATATTTTATGTATTCCTGCTATATTCTCGTGTTTCTTAACACATTTACTACCAGCGTCACATATTTGTGACGGCCGTAATCCTATATTTTACATAATGAAAATGAAGTTAATCCTATGGATATTGTTATCTGAAATTATAAACTACGACATTACATATATATTTAGGAACTCAGTGATTCGTTTCAGTTTAATTTTTCTAATATTTTGTTTAGAAGATTTATTGGATTGAAGAAAATATTATAATTGAGGAGACTCTCGCCGAAATAAACGCTGGTAACGAACGTGTTAAACCCAATCACGTTTCCATTTTTCAGTACCATTTCATTAATTAACTTTTTTCTTATCCGGTGTGCGTTCTCAATTCGTCAAGAATATTTTCAAATTTAAGAATAATATAAGAAAATCATTATTGGATGGCATGCTAATATTTTTTCATTACTTTCCAGTACTTCGAATTTATTAATAAACCAAGGATTATAACACGTTTAATTAGTTAAAACTCGGAATGATACTTATTTTTTTCACGACGAATTAGTTATTCTTTCAGACACAAATGTAATTTTTCTTCGTTTTACTTCAGTTCTTCGTTGAAATATATTATAGCTGCATATGTTCTGCGTTTGATGAATATATACTTCTTTTTTATATTTTATTGTGCGCACAATGAAAGATTCTTGAAACTAAATTCCACAGTTAACAGGATAACACTAAATGGAAGTACCGCGACCGGTCAAATGACCGGTTTCAAAATATGATTTAACATTCTGAGTTTTCTTTCAGTGATTTAACTTTATATCAATTCCTATATTATCGGGTTAATCAATTTATCAATTTTCGCCTTTTCCTTTGTTTCTGTTTTCACTAATAAAACTCTACTGCTTAACTTCTTTACTTTTATTTTGTAACAAATTATTTGACTGGTTACGGTAGAATGGTACATAAAAAGTGCCGCTATGTTTAATGTTACACAACGAGAAAGTACCGTTCATTTAAACGTTCATCATTGATCAAACGTTGAGGGATCATCGTTCAAAGTGATAGCCGAGGCAGCTTGTAGGTCATACTAGTTGGTTGATTTTCAGACAGCGATCAGTTTAATGGATAAATTTTTCCCTCGAGTGATTCCCGCGACGCAGCCAATGCGGACAGCCTCGACTTTCGGCGAGTGCATCCTGGGGTAGGTAATCTTTTCCGGCACGTCGAGCGTTTGCAGGCTGACTCGAATTGAACTGGGAGTTACGCGGCCCCCAATTAAATTTCTCCATTGGTCCGCCAGTGTGATTCGAAATCGATACTACGTACCTCGAGTGACATCGTGTAATAATGTCGATGAGCTGACTCGTCGAGTACGGACATGTGAAAAAAAGGGAGCACCCCGACCGGTCTGGAAAATCCTTTCTGT